TGCTTACATAATCACTACGCAAAGTATGGTTATTTTCTGAAGAAACAGATAGCCTTTTGAAATACAGCGGATGGCTTGTATTCTAATTATTATTAAATTTCAAAGCTAGCACCGTCATATTAAACGTAAAGGAAGATAGCAACTAAACTATAGTACATATATGTAAAAGACCCTTTCTGCAGATTTCGTTAAGAGTGGACTCTTTGTGGCAGCTGCAGAGGCAATATTTGTTAGGGACCCCAAAATTTATTCTTTGGCAGTGACACTCAAAATTGTGGACGTTTAAGTTATGTATTTCTACATTGGCTAGAGGTGAAGGGGGAAGGTTGAGCGCTCATAATACCTGTTTAACCCCGCCGCATTTTTGCGTCTGTCCTAAGTCAGGAACCTCTAGCCTTTGTTGGTCTTGTATTTGTTTAAATTTTGGTTCATCTACATGTTTTGGAGCATAGAATGGCGTCCATATTCTTGATATAGTGTACATTGTGTTTCGGGGCCTACTCGGGGCTGCCTCTGGGTGTGAGATTTCTCGCTGTGTTGAAGACCCATTGGTGGCCTTGGGTTGACTTGTATATTTTGGTTGGGTTGTTGTCTCTTTGACACATTCCCCGTCTCCATTCTTTATTCTATACATGTAGCTGTCAAAGATACTTTTGTAAAAGAGACAAAAGAAGCAGTATTGGAATATGTAACTTCTTTCTAAAAAACGGGTTTATCATAACCAATATAAAAAAGAAGATGTGGTATGATTGCCGATGAGACAACTCTCCACAAGAGACCAAATGACACAGAAATTAACAACTATAGGTCACCGTACGGCCTTCAACAATGAGCAAAGCCCATACCGCACAGTCAGCTATAAAAGGCCCCGAAATTACAAAGTAAAACAATTCAAACGAGAAAACTAACGGCCTAATTTATGTACAAAAAATGAACGAAAAACAAATATGTAACACATAAACAAACGTTTTTTTATATGATGCACAATGGCTATTTAATTCATTTTTTTTTTGGGTGCATGCGTCCTTTAAGGATACATTTTTTTTCAAACATTTCCAGAAATAAAACACCAAATGTGTTTTGTTTTCATTAAAATCCGAACAATTTATTAGAAACTTAATGTCAATATATATATTTTCTCCTAATTTTCAGTAAAAATAATCTTTAAATTTATTCACTTCCATTTTAGACAATTTTTTTCTCAAGGAATTCAGAATCAAACAATTCTTTAAAAAAAAACCTACGCCTTTCCAAAATATGGATGGCAGATACTGTACCTGAAAGTACAACTTGATGCCATACTTACCTGGGTAAAACTTTTTTCATGTGCTCTCGTGACAGGCTATACATGATATTAAAATGAAAAGGAAGCCTTTTTTTTTTAGAAAAATGTACAATACCCAGCTGATATCTGAAACTACAACATTTGTATCAAGGCTTCATCAGTGACAACATATTACCTCCCCTGTAAATATTGAAAACTAGATCTTCTCAATGTTTGTCCCATTTTAGGAAGGACGCTATCAATTATGGATTCACGGGAAAACGTTCTGGTAAATAGTAAAAATAGAAATAAGTTGAAATAAAAACAAAACTTCCATTCAATGTTATCATTTCCCTCCTTAAGTAGCAGACGACGAGTACAGCAGGCTATATAAGCTTGATGTAAAATTGGTTTAAAATGTTGCTATGCGAATAAATTCCTGGAGTACCAACTTCAATTTATTTTTCTACTGGCTGTATACCTTTCTGGAACATGCTAATTATCCGAATATATATACAGCTAGATCCGAGAAAGTCAGGGAAAAAATTCCAAAGGAATCGATCGATATGCAGCAAAGATTGGCACTTTTGAAATTAAGTTACTAAGCAAATTCAAACGGACCTTATCTCGATGTAAACTTGAATGTGATGATCTCCAATGCCAGGAAGTTACCATAATGCCATAGACAGCATGCTTATTTTTGCGTTGTAGTATTCAGATATACATACATTGAACAACTCGATTTTTATTAACTATTTGGTATATATATGCACTCTCCGCTTGGGGTTGAATCACAAAGTTAACCAAGTTCAAAATTATTTAATTTATCACATAAAGCACATAGCATATCACATGTCTGACTAATTCATGAGATATTTTCCTAAGTTAAATGTGCAATTGTGCCAATATCACCCTGAACCTTTGCGAAAGACGAAGAGTTAGCACTTGGTACATGTATGCGTACGAATATCCTTTATTCAAGCGTCACTGATGATCGAGTCTTGTGTAGACGAAACGTGCGTCTGGCGTAGAAAATATTATAAGCCTGGTACCTTTGATAAGTATTTACTTTAGGCCTAACACAGTGCCATATTCTGTGAGATGTCGATAATTTTCCAGGGGCGGATCCAGGTTTTTAGGTTAGGGGGCGGAAACCTAAAATTTCGCCGAGCGGAGCGAGGCAAAAAAAATTTTGAGGTAAAATTATCGAAATGTTCTTCTAGAGTGGGTGCAATATATGTAGATATCTCGCCAAGCGAAAATATTTTGTGGTAAAATTAGCGAGTAATTAAAGTTTCAAGCTAAAACCGCCTAAATCCACCCCTGACAACAATTTACAATCACCATAAATTAATTAACAAGAAATCTGTGAGCTTCTATTCATTGAAACTAACCCCATATAGTTACCAGAAAACGGGACGTAAGACAAGTAGAATAGAGACAGACCTCAATCCGGAGTACACAAGCTGACCCTCCATATAAAAAAAATTCAAGTGAATGTTATGTAAATGGTTAATGAGAAAACTGGTGTAACATTCATATTAGTCAATTGAATATATTCATTCATATTAGTCAATTGAATATATTCATTCATATTAGTCAATTGAATATATTCGGGGGGGGGGGGGGGGGAATGAAGTAATATGTAATAGATTTGTATGCGTGCAAATGCAATACCGGACTCCTAGCGGATCCTCCGGACCAAATATCAAGTGACTGTCTGGCGGATGAACGGACAGAGGTAAAACTATGTCCCTGTTTCCGCGAAGAGCCTCTGAGGTAAGATGACAAGGTATCCTACAAAATTGGAAAAATCAACAACGATCTCCTAACATCACTAACTTACGCCCTAAGGGATTCATAATGAGTTTTTAATTTTTTTATTTTCGGAGCTCGTGCCAGACTTTATATATACTGTTTTCGCCGCAAACCACTAAAATCAAAATTAGATGCTTTTACGAAGTTATGTTTATTTTCTTGGGATCCCAGGTAATACGGTAGTACGGGTCGGGGGCCTTGATCGTTTATGCATACTTCGGCAAAATTTTAGGTTGCAAGTGAGAAATATATATATAGACACAGAGATATTAAATAATGATACAAATTAATAAACTAACCTTTCGCTTGAAACAGTATTTCTATCTTTCATAAAGAATGAATATAACCTGGATTGTTTTCTTGGCTGTGCCATGATGAAATAACCAACCCAACCGCGGGTAGGGCACATTCACCTACTTCGTGGGAATGTGAGTTAGGGATGTTTTGAAACTTCGATTATCAAAGAAATTGTTTATAAAAACCGTAAATACAATGTAGCAATTGTTTTTACTTTAAATGCTAAAAGCCTCTAATACTTGTCATCAAACGCATCACCGCGTTTGACACATTCCTTTGAAGTATATAATATTTATAGAACTTAAATAAACCGTAGTTCAGTTGATGAGTAATCAATTCACGTTGGTTCTGTTAAACTTACTGTTTATAATACAATTTGAATGTTAAAACGGATGGAATGCGACGGCTTTAATTTTCGTCGTCTCTTTAGATACTTTATTAAGCTGAGGACAACCCATGCTTTGCAAATTGTAGGGGGGCGCACGCCCCCGCCTGTATCCGCCCCTGTTTGAAGGTATATTTCATTTGTCTACATGATTTATCTTCTTATGCTTGATTTGTTCAGTACGGTATACATTTTGTCTTATATCTACAGTATATCCTGTTTTATGTTAGAAAATGAACAATGTCGTTCTCACCGCATGAAAGAAATTTAAGCGTGCGTGACTTTGCAACATATAGACTCTTATAAATAAGTATCACATAACTCTTTCAAATCCTGCAATCAAAATACCGGGACCCTTCCTTATGCAGTATATAACTACGTTCGGGTACATGTATGCTCTGTTTATTAAATGCGAAGTAAACCTGAAAATTCTCACGGTTTCAAAAATCAGACGACACGACCGTTTATATATTCGACCGTTTATATATAATTCTAAAGAAATTAGAGAAACATAATATTTTTGTAACTTGCAACTCGGCCTTCGTAACTCGCAACTCGACTTTCGTAACTCGCAACTCGACTTTCGTAACTCGCAAATCGACTTTTGTATCTCGCAACTCGACTTTCGTAACTCGCAACTCGACTTTCGTAACTCGCAACTCGACTTTCGTAACTCGCAACTCGGCTTTCGTAACTCGCAACTCGACTTTTGTAACTCGAAACTCGACCTTTGTAACTCGCAACTCGACCTTCGTAACTCGCAACTCGACTTTTATAACTCGCAACTCGACTTTTGTAACTCGCAACTCGACTTTCGGAACTCGCAACTCGACTTTTGGAACTCGCAACTCGACTTTCGTAACTCGTAACTCGACTTTCGTAACTCGCAACTCGACTTTTGTAACTCGCAACTCGACTTTCGTAACTCGCAACTCGACCTTCGTAACTCGCAACTCGGCCTTTTCAACTCGCAACTTGCAACTCGACGATAAGAAACCCTCTGCAGTTCATAGTGATAAGGTAGAGGCAGGGGTGTCCCCGGCGTTTTTTATTGTATGAAACCAAAGTTTTTTTTTTTAATATTAATCCGTTGATTTTGGTGTATATACATATTTATAATAAAAACTTGTATGTCTGCGACATAAACTTTTATAACGCCTCATTCCTATGAAGGTGTTCCATAATTGGAAGTTTTATACGCATAGAGGGAGAAGAATGAATTCAGGTTCCGGTCGATATTCAAGATGGAGGAGAGCGACAGGTCCTCCCCGTCTACACCAGAATTATTGTCATATTCTGCTGATGAAGAGCCTCTAGAGCTTGCAAAGAAAGCTGGAAAGGTTTTTATAAGTGATAAATTAAAAAAAATGCATTGCACTTAAAGAAATAAATTATCCAGGCAAAAAACGTTTTCTAAATAATGACAGAACTGGCAGATCCTTAGTCCTAGATTTTACTCTGACGTCCAACGGCTGTTTTGCCAGACAAGCTGGGGCCGTGGGACCCCAGCTTGTCTGGCAAAACAGCCGTTGGACGTCCGGTAGGTCTTTTCACCACCTAACACCAACGCACAGCCGAACACCACCGAACACCCAAAAGTTTAAATTTTTGAACTTTTATTGTTATAAATGTGACCTAAATATGATATTTAATTTATTAATTCAACAAATAATAAGGTTAAGAGAACAAATATCTACATCGAACAGAAAAGGAGAGTCTATAACACTACAACTCTGCAAACCACCACTGGACACCTCAAGTATTTTTTTTTCTTCTTTAATAAAATAGTTGTACCAATTACAAGAAAAAAGACATGAGCAAATGTTAAATATTTCGGGTAACTAATATCCTTCATCAGTAATTGATTTCAAATGATTCTTATACACACACAATGTAATCCGGAAAAAAATAGTGATGAATCCGGAGACATTTTTCTTTATATGGATTATATACACCTTATCGCTATTTGTTCGCCATTACTGGACATCACACAAGTTCCCGTAAAATTTTGACGTCATAATAGACAATATCTGACGCCACAATGGAAAAGTGATTGTTGTATGACGTCAAAAGTTCAAGCGGGACTGATTCTCGGGTCAAGCGGGATTAGCGATAAGGTGTATTGATAATCGACTTTAACAGAAAAATGATGCAAATAAACATCTAAAAAATTGTTAAATTAGACGTAATTTAATTGATTTTACCGTTTTATTGTATAAAATCACTGATTTTCTCAGTCGTTGATGGTTTCTTTGGGTGTTTGGGGGTGTGCGGTGGTGTTCGGTGGTGAAAAGACCCACCCGTTGGACGTCAGAGTAATCTCAGACTAGCAGATCCTCAATCCCAATCTTAACCAGCGCATACCCTTTAAAAGCACAGAGAGAAAAATACATTTAGCAGAAGACTTGAAGGAGTAATTCTACACATTTGAGACAGTTTGTGCCAACAGGCCTTAAGATTGAGGATTGAGGCACAGTGGCTTGTAAGTGGGTCAGACGAGGTTTTACTGTCAATGGGGGTTGCAATTGGTATTTTATATATGATAGCGACTGCCATTGACAGTAAAACCTCATCTGACCCACTAAACAAGCCCCTGTGATTGAGGCATCCCACCTGAATCCTCAGTAAACCACAGGGGCTTGTTTAGTGGGTCAGACAAGGTTTTACTGTCAATGGCAGTCGCTATCCTAGCCAGCGACCACCATTGACAGTAAAACCTCGTCTGACTCAGTAAACAAGCCCCTGTGTATAAACGGAAAAAAAGTCACAAAATCACTAGGGAAAAAAGTCACAATATATGATTGAGTAAAACTATTCATAAGAAGTGTGTTGGAATACACATGAAAAAGTCTACAATGTATATGTATGAAATAAATAATTAAAATAGAGTTTTTGAATTTATAGAAAAAAATGAAAACAATAGTTATAAATTTCATGCATCCAAAGTGCTTTTCTGGATTAACCTTCATCAGGAAGTTCAAAGCAGAATATTTGAAAGCCAAGGATGTATAAGAACCGAAACAGTTGAAGAGCTATAAAAAGTCATAATATACTTGAATCAGATCAATTATTCTAAGACTTATCTAAGTGGTAGATTGTTAAATGTATATAGGAAAAGGTCATATTATAGCACAATTTTATCAGTAAAATTTCATGATTATTTTTTTTACGAATTAAAAGTAAAAATAGCTATTTTTCTTCATTTAATTATTATTTTATAAATGAATAAATAAATATTAACAAATGAAATTATGATGTATATATGAAAAGGTCACATTATAGCATAATTTTATCAACAGATTTCATGATTTGTTTTATAAATCAAACTAAAAATTAATATTTTTCCTCGTTTTTTTTATAAATGAAAAAATAAATCAATATTTACTAAATAAAAGTGTCAGAAATGAAATATGTTTTATTACAGCGCATGATCTGTAGGGCATTCCGGTGTTATGTTGCGGCAGACATTTCTACCCATGTGACCTGCGTTTTTGACTGATAACCTTTCGAAGGTATATCATCATGATCATATAAATATGCGGATATTATCGAGTGCAAAATAACATTCCTTATCGCTTGTTATAAATTAATTTCTTCAATGAAAACTCATGACAATATTTTTTAAGAACATAAATAAATAATATGAAAATGTTTTGTCGTGAGAAATATATATATATGTTGTCATGTACAAGTTATCATTTTGTACAAATTATAATCATGATAATTAGTAAAAAAAAAATTGTACTAATTATAATTTGTATTTTGACTTTGTACAAATTGTAATTTGTACAAAAAGTGCTTGTACAAATAACAATTTGTACAAAATTTGACAAAAATTCACTTATAACTTGTACAATAATTTATAGTATGGATTTTGTTATAAAAAAAGCATTGATACACACTTTAGATTTTTTATTCAATGAACACACAATAAACCTTATTCACAAAATACAAAAATAGTTCTGTATAATTTGTTTGATCATGCGATTTAATTATGGGATTGGAGATTGCACAACATCTTTTGCATTTTACATTTATATTTAGAAGTGCTACACCCCTTTTGAATTTACATGAAAGAAACCCCTGACCACCAGTTTTTGAAAGCTTTTTAAGTGCTTCACATAGCGAAAGTTAAAGCTCAGGAACTGTTGTTGCAAATAAAGATGTGTCTTTACCAGCTTCAATTTGATTTCTCGACAAATATCCTATTAAAATTCCTACAGCTGTTCTAATGCGGTACCAAAAATTCTCCAGATTCCATTATTACACCTAAGATATTTCGAGGATCAGTTGGGGCACTATCATACTGATGAATTAGTATTAGGACATTATCCCGACAGCAAGTTCTGATTTTATTGGTTAGATATTCGGCGTGGATCTGTTGGCCAGACAGCGCACGCTATGATTGGTGTTGCAACGTCAGTGTCATCCTGATTGTCACTCGGACCAATTTCTATTATACTATCAGAATTGTCACTGGGGCCAATTCTTATTATTCTATCAGAAATGTCACAGACACAGGGCCAATTTCTATTGTACTATCAGAATTAACTGGCATTCATGTATCAATTACATTTCCTTTATTCATCTAGGTATTTTTGTATTTTTATACGACCGCAAAAAAATTTTGTGGTCGTATATTGGTATGACGTTGGCGTCGTCGTCGTCGTCCGAAGACACATTGGTTTTCGCACTCTAACTTTAGTTTAAGTGAATGGATCTCTATGAAATTTTACCATAAGGTTCAATACCACAAAAGGAAGGTGGGGATTGATTTTGGGGGTTATGGTACTAACAGTTAAGGAATTAGGGGCCAAAAATAAGCATTTTTGTAACTTCCAGACATAACTTGTGTGTTAGTGTATGGATCTCTCTGACATTGTACCACAAGGTTCCATATCACAAAGGGAATGCTGGGATTGATTTAGGGGGTAATTGCCTCCAAATTTTAGGAATTAGGGGGCAAAAACAAGCATTTTTCTAGTTTCATGAGAATAACTTGTGTGTAAGTGTATGGATCTCTCTGACATTGTACCACAAGGTTCCATATCACAAAGGGAAGGCTGGGATTGATTTTGGGGGTAATTGCCTCCAAAATTTAGGAATTAGGGGCCAAAAAGGGGCAAAAAACAAGTATTTTTCTAGTTTCAGGACAATTACTTGTGTGTAAGTGTATGGATCTTTATGAAATTGTACTACAAGGTTCCATATCACAAAGGGAAAGCTGGGATTGATTTTGGGAGTAATTGCCCAAAACGTTTAGGAAAAAGGGGCAAAAATAAGCATTTTTCTAGTTTCCAGACAATAACTTGTGTTCAAGTGTATGGATCTCTCTGAAATTGTACTGCAAGGTACCATACCACAAAGGAAGGCTGGGATTGATTTTGGGGGTAATTCCCTCAAAATTTTAGGAATTAGGGGCCATAAAGGGGCAAAAAAACAAGATTTTTCTAGTTTCAGGACAATAACTTGTGTGTAAGTTTATGGATCTTTATGAAATTGTACTGCAAGGTTCCATATCACAAAGGGAAAGCATGGATTGATTTTGGGGGTAATTCCCTCAAAATTGTAGGAATTAGGGGCCATAAAGGGGCAAAAAAACAAGCTTTTTTCTAGTTTCAGGACAATAACTTGTGGGTAAGTGTATGGATCTTTAGGAAATTGTACTGCAAGGTTCCATATCACAAAGGGAAAGCTGGGTTTGAGTTTGGGGGTAATTGCCCTTAACGTTTAGGAATTTGGGGCCAAAAAGGGGCAAAAAAACAAGCATTTTTGTAGTTTCCAGACAATAACTTGTGTTCAAGTGCAGGGATCTCTCTGGAATTGTACTGCAAGGTACCATACCACAAAGGGAAGGCTTGGATTGAGTTTGGGGGTGATGAATCATAAGGGGGTTCAAAAAATTTGGGGGGGATTTTTTTTTCCTTTTTTTTCTTTAAAACTTTCCATTTTAAATTGGTTATATCTGATTTATATATAAAAGCAAATAATAATGATATGGTTTGAATAGGTAAATTAAAATTTTTTAAGTTCTTAGACCACATTCATTCTGTGTCAGAAACCTATGCTCTGACAAATATTTAATTACAGTCCAAATTCAGTGCTGTATCAAGCTTGAATGTTGTGTCCATACTTGCCCCAACTGTTCAGGGTTCGACCTCTGCGGTCGTATCAAGCTGCGCCCCAGCGGAGCATTTTATTTAAATAAGGTTTATTGTGTGGTCATTGAATAAAAATTCTATTGTGTATCAATAGTTTGTTTATAACAAATAAATTGTAATTTGTACAAGCACTTTTTGTACAAATTACAATTTGTACAAAGTCAAAATACAAAATGACA